TAAATGTATTCAATATCATAAATTCAATATAAATTAAAATAATTAATTATTTTAATAATAGATTTATACAAAAAAAATTGAGACAAAATGATTATCTCAATAACATTTCCCATTTTAATTCCCATATGCGTGGAAATTAATTCCCATATGCGTGGAAATTTAATGCATATGGTGATTTCGAAACATCTGAGTACCTTCATTATTTTGGCTAACCAGTTTGGCTAACCAGTTGAAAAACAAGCACTTCAGTTTTTTGGCTCACCAGTTGAAAAACTTTGCTAGCTATCGTACGTCATATGTCCATCTCTTTTGTCTTTTCTGAGACTTTTTGCCTCACCAGCTGCATATGCGTGGAGGAAGTTTGGATTCCTAACACCAAGTTCTGCAACTTATACCTCTGAAAGATGTGGTGTGAGTAGTTCTTTAATTTTTCCTCTCAACCCAAATTCTCACAATTCACCATCCTGGAGGGTACCAAATTCACTACACACAAATCCCTGAAAAATATCCAAAACTCTGCCATGGCGGCATGCGCATTTCACAGCAAAGACAAGAAACGTTGCCCAACAAATTGCATATTCAGAGACGTTTTTCCAAAATCTGATGAGAATGCTCTGAAGGTGCGTGATTTTTTCAAGCTTGAAAAACTAGTTGACTTTGCGAAGTCCTTGAGTGGCATTGAGCGAGAGGAAGACCTGGTACGCTCACCGGAGATCAATGCTTTTCTATGGGAAGTTTACAATTTCGTGCAAGATATCAATACCCATTCTGGAGGTCCATACTCAAGGATTGAGGCTGTGCTGAAAAATCTGAAAGCAGCCCGAAGCTATCTCTCTCAAAAGCCGATCCTTGCAGATGTTCTGTTGGAAGCCTCCATTAAGATCCTGGAGAAACAAGAGGAAGTCTATGATTGTTTGGCGCTAGTTGAGGGTTTGAATCTAGAGTTGGACAAAGAAGCAGAGGAGCAAGCCAAAGAAGCGGCTGAGCAAGAAGTTGCATTCAAAGAAGCCGCGGCATAAGAAGTAGCAGCCGAAGAAGCAGCGGGCGAAGAACCATTACAGGACCGGAAATAAGACAGCCGATATGGCAGGGGGTGTGCTTAGGTGGACGGTTGTTGATGATGTATGTAGATGAAGTCATGAAGATGCATGAGATATGATGTATGTACAAAGAGCAGCTATAAAGCTCATTCTTGTAACAGAATTGGTTATCGAAAGTGAATGCAGTTTTCTCATTATCTTCAGTTTCTCTCCTCTTCACATCCCTTCTAAGACTCTGTTTCTCATCTCACCTCCCTTCTCGATTCTTTTCTCATCTCTATCTCTTGATTCTTTAAGGATTGTTGACTGGGTTATATCAAGAACCCGATAACTGATGTTCGACGATAGAGTTTTACCCATTCAATCTTGAAAATGTTTCGGAGATGTTGCGATGTTTCCAGGTTTTGCATCCAGTTTGAGGTCTTTTTGCCACTTTGACTCTCTAATAAAATCACGCATCGAATTCTGTTCTTGTGTTGGTAGTCTCTGAATCTTTTAAGTTGCTTCCATCTTTTAAGTTGCTTCCATCTTTCTCGTCATTACCCTGTTTTGTTGTTTTACAGAGAATCCAGTGCAATTTTGGTCTAATGGTTAGATCAAAATATTAAGTGACCAAATTTGCATTACTTGATTATTGAGGATAAGTGCATTAACTTTCTAACTCGTGGTATGCATTGGGTCTACTAAGTTTGTTTAATTGAGCAGGGAGAT